GAATGCTGGGACCACAGGGCTGTCCATCGGGCCATTGGCGTGACCCCTGCTCCCTCCTTCTCTTTGCAGGCTATGAAGAGACCCTGATGCGCCTTGCTGCCATCCTGGCCAAGCATTTTGCTGACTCAAGGATTGTGGGCACGGGTAAAGCTCCAGTCCTCTGCTTTGGGGTGATAATGTTGCAGGTCTGGCCAGTCCCACTGCTGGTGGCTCACCAGACTTCTGTTGGGATCTATCTGCTGAATCTGTTGAGTGTTTTATGCCTCCACGTACAAAGAGAGGCTGGTCACTGCCCTTGTCTGGTGTGTCCTGCTTATTCCAGGGTTAGATACATGACCTAGGATCCCCTTTTGAGAGCAGGACTTATGTCCCAACTACTTGCATGTCAAATCTGGGGTTACTTCTTAGCTGCCTGAACATAGGCACGCTCTCCCTGTCAGCTGGGACAGCAAACCTCTGTAAGTGGTGGGTTGGTCCCTCCTTGCCTTGGGTGGTCAGGTGCTCCCTGGCACGCTGCATGTCCTTGGGTGCCTGGCCTAGCCCCTTCTCATTCCTCCACAGATATCCGGGACTCCCTGATGCAGGCGTTGGCCAGCTACGTCTGCTACCCCCACTCGCTGCGTGCTGTAGAGAGGATCCCAGAAGAGCAGTAAGTGCTGCCCTGCCTGTTCCTGGGGAGCTGGGGCAGGACTGGGGTGGTGGCAAGGCTGGATGGGGGAGCAGGCTGGCTGCCAAGCACTCCTGAGGGTCCAGGAGCTGCAGCTGGTTTGGTGCTGGAGTTGGTTTGGGGAGCCTCCTATCACTCTTATACCAGTGGCTTTGCTCTGTCCCAGCTCCTTGGGTCCTACTGTGGTCCTATTTAATCCCCTGTGATCCCAAACCCTTTGTGGCTGACCTATGTCTTTCATCTGGCAGGCGGATCTCCATGATGAAGAACCTTCTGGCTCCCTATGAGCAGCGACCCTGGGCACAGACCAACTGGATCCTTGTCAGGCTGTGGCGGGTGAGTGTCCTGTGTTCCTGCCCCTCTCACTGTCTGGGGCTGGTTGGACACTGAGCATTTCACTTTCCAGTAGCAGCAAAACCCAACTGGTTTCCAGCCTCTAAGATCTTTCCTTATCTCTTTTACCAGGGCTGTGGCTTTGGGTACAGATACACACGGCTCCCACACCTGCTGAAAACCAAGCCTGAGGATGCAAGCCTCCCCAGCTTGCAGAGTGAGTGGGGCAGGGGATTGACTCTTGGGATTATGATGGGTGGTGAGGGAGGACTGGCTTCTTCCCTAGCAGCCGTCCCTACAGGCCAGCTGGTGAGATGGCTGCTGAAGTAGGGGGATCCTGGCCAAATATCCAGGCCTGACCTTTGCAGCCAGCATTTCCTTTCCTGGACATCCCCAGTCTCTCTGCACTGCCTGGTGACTCTTGCCTCCTGGGTGGTGGGTTAGATCCATCATGAGGAGGGGTTCTGCCCTTTAAGGGAGAGGAGAGAGGCCCAGGGCTGCATCCTTACCAGAGCTTTACCCCAAAATGTAAGCCTGGGAGAAGGCTCTCTGATGTCCGCAGCAAGCATCTGCTGTGGGGAAGAGTTGGCGAGTATGCCAAGCAGTAGCAACCCTGTGAGAGGGAGCGGGTGCCCGAGGAGGCAGGGCACTGGAGAAGTTTGCAAACAGGGAGCGTTTTAACCAGGCATGTCTCTCAGAGCCTGGCAGAGCCTGTCCCGCCTTTGGCATGGCAATTTGGTTCTCAGCACTGTCACCAAAATGCGGGGTTTCTTGGATCTGTTGTGGCTGAGAAAGACGTAGGGAGGAGAAGGTACCTCTCTTGAGGTGAAGAACACATCCCCAGCTTCACCATTGCAGGGTCTGGGTCTGTCCGGATACATTCCTGACCCCCCTCTGCTGTGCAAAAGGCTTTGTGCCAGACCTTGCTTCTGGAGAGCTGCCCAGGGATGGGGGACAGAGGGTGCTGCAGCCTGACATGGGCTGGCGGCATGTGGAGGTGCGTGCTAATGCCCGTCCAGTGGGGAGAGCTGTCTGTTTTAACAGCACTCTTGTTCTTTTTCTCTTTCCTGCCCATGGTGCCCAGGAGATCTCTCTGTTGCTAGTTTCCAGAGTAAGTTTGTTGTGTGACCCTCTCTTGTCTGGTGAAGTAGCTTTAGAGAGCTCCCTCCTTCCCCTCTTCTGTCTAGAGAGACCCTTCTTTGGGAGGCTTCACACAATGATCACTTTTCTCAGTTACGTCCCTGGGAGATGCCAGGGGGACCGGTGCCCACATGGCAGTCTCTGAGGCTGCGTCACGGACCCGCTCTTGCCCCTGTTTTCTCAGGATTACCTCTGGGGTCAGAGCCCTGCCGCAGCCCTCTCGTCCTTGGTGGACGATGGGGAAGCCCTTGTACACGTGCAGGAGGGACCTCATCACTGTCCCCTCACCCTCCTACCGCACAAGCAAGCCCCTGAGTGGCTGCCACCAGTCCCGTGGGGCAGTAACCAAGCTCCCCCCATCCCAGGGAGCTCTGGGGCTGGAGCAAAGTTCCTCAGCTTTTGCGGCCTTTCTCCATCCATCTCCGGATGGCTCCGCACAGTCTGAGCCTGGAGTGGGCTGGGCTGGCTACTGGGGACTTGCTCCTGGGATTGCTATTTTAAGGTGCAACCAAATCAATAATGAATGCTGATTTAATTGAAGAGTGACATGGGACTCAGATGTGTCCTTGTGGTGCTGCCTGGGAAACGAGGAGGAGATGACCCCCCCAACTTCCCACCCCTTAGTCTTCACCTTGTTGCAATTTGAGCATTGGCAGAGACAACGGGACAAACTGCTGAGCTGAGAGAAATCCCTGTTTGTCTGGGTCTGCTTCTGCAGGCCAGTCTGAAGGGAGCTTGGGCAAATGCCTCTTCTCTGGTGCTCCAGCCTTGTCCTGCTTTGGGGATGCTTCCTTGGAGGACTCTGCACAAGTGGCAAAGGTGGGCTGGCGCTGCCTCACAATATCCATGAAACACGCAGAGCACAGACCACCTGGTCTCCTACGCTGCCTTTTACCCGTGCTCACCGAGGGTGAGCAATGAGATGGCTGCCTGGGTTAGCCCAGGGAGGGGGAGAGGCTCAGAAAGGCCGTGTGTGTTCCTGCCTGCTCCCTGAGTTGTTCCTTAGCCCCGCTGGCACCAAACAGCTCTCGTGCAGGCAGGGCTCTGCCTCCAGTTTGGCAACTGAGAGCAGACAGGGGCTCTGTTCAGAGGTGGGAGCAGATCT